TGTTGCTGTTGCTGTTGCTGTTGCTGTTGCTGTTGCTGTTGCTGTTGCTGTTGCTGTTGCTGTTGGTGTTGCTGCTGGTGGTGTTGGTGGTGTTGGTGGTGCTGGTGGTGCTGGTGTTGGTGTTGGTGTTGGTGTTGGTGTTGGTGTTGGTGTTGGTGTTGGTGTTGGTGGTGTTGTTGTTGTTGTTGTTGTTGTTGTTGTTGTCGTTGTTGTCGTTGTCGTTGTCGTTGTCGTTGTTGTCGTTGTCGTTGTCGTTGTCGTTGTTGTTGTTGTTCTTGTTGTTCTTCTTGTTCATCTTGTTCTTCTTGTTCTTGTTGTTCTTGTTGTTCTTGTTCTTGTTTGTTCTTCTTGTTGTTCTTGTTGTTCTTGTTGTTATTGTTGTTCTTGTTGTTGTTGTTGTTCTTGTTGTTGTTGTTGTTGTTGTTGTTGTTGTTGTTGTTGCGGTTGCGGTTGCGGTTGCGGTTGCGGTGGGGGTTGGGGTTGGGGTTGGGGTTGGGGTTGGAGTTGGCTGGTTGGCTATTCTTATTCTCGACGCTGTTGTTGTTGCTGCTGCTGCTGTGGCGGTGGCTGTCGCTGTTGCCGTTGGTTTCTGTTGCTGTTGCTGTTGCTACTGCTGTTGTTGTTGCTGTTGCTGCTGCTGTTGCTGTACAGCACACTCGTTCAACTGAGCCATTGAGCCCGTGCATCACGGCACACATGCCTGCCTAATGAGAAGCACACCCTCTCAACTGAGCCACTGCGCCACTGCGCGCACGCCTGCCAAATGAATAGCGCGCCTGTTCAACTGAGCCTGCGCACCACTGCGCACATGCCTGACAAAACAAATAAGTGCGCTCGTTCAGTTGAGCCGGCGCACCACTGCACACGTTGGCATACCTGCCTGCCAAATGATACGCACACCCGTCAACTCAGCCTGTGCACCAGCGGTGAGGGGTGCAAGGTGCGAGGTCCAAGGCTCGAGGTCTGAGGTCTGTCCAAGGTCCGAGGCTCAAGCCAAGGTCCGAGGCTCTAGATCCAAGGTCCGAGGCTCAAGGTCCAATGCTCGAGGCTCGAGGTCCGAGGTCCAAGGTCCGAGGTCCAAGGTCCGAGGCTCGAGGTCCGAGGCTCGAGGTCCGAGGCTCGAGGTCCGAGGTCCGAGGCCTGAGTCCCGAGGCTCGAGGCCCGAGGCCCGAGGCCCGCGGTCCGAGGTCCGAGGCCCGAGGCTCGAGGCTCGAGGTCCGAGGTCCGAGGTCCGAGGCTCGAGGTCCGAGGCTTGAGGCCCGAGGTCCGAGGCCTGAGGCCCGAGGTCCGAGGCTCGAGGCCCGAGGCCCGAGGTGCGAGGTCCGAGGCCCGAGGCTCAAGGCTCGAGGTCCGAGGTCCAAGGTCCGAGGCTCGAGGTCCGAGGAGGCTCGAGGTCCGAGGCCCGAGGCTCGAGGTCCGAGGTCCCAGACTCGAGGTCCGAGGTCGAGGTCCGAGGTCCGCCGCTGCCGGCTTCCCCATTGTCAGGTTCGATCTCGAAACTTTGGTAGTCCATAACTTTTAGCACCCTTCGATATCGCATCCCTGGATAAATACGCCAACCCATAAACAAGCCTGGGGCCATGTTGGGTTCTAGGGTTCTCTTTCCAGCTGACTTTAGGCGATACCAAACGAGCTGTCCGAAACAACAGCGGACGCCATCGAACTTCCGTGGACGGTCGGTCGAAAGACATCGAGAGGCATGCAAAGGGATAGGAGTGCGTATGGAGAGAGTAGGGCAAACCCGATTGATGGTGTGTGCTCCTGCAACACTCACTCCTCTCGGACATCTCGCTCGAGCTCGGAGTTGCGCGCCAGCGATTCGGCAACGAGCTTTCGGGGATCATCCCTACTTCCTCGGCCGCTCCCTGCAACTCTCCAGCTTCATCCATTTTTTATGAGACAGTGTGGAGCGAGTTCGTTGGCTCTGAGGCCAATGAAATGACTGAGATTCCTTGCGTGCGACGCAATGTCTCTCTTAGAGACCGGATATGCGACCCTTGCGCCGGAAAACACATCGCTGATGACATGGTGGGATTTTATTCCGCCTATGCCGACGCCAACGTGTTCATCGCCTTTCGCCAAGATCACGCTATCGGTAGCGAGCTGCTGGTAGGGAGCGCTGGGCGCGTCTAGAAGATCGTCACTCCGCCCCCCTGGTTTTCGGGCGACACGCATTGAGGTGTTCTTAGCGATGTTGCAAATCTTGCAGAAGGGGTTCTTGGGGAAGTGAGTCCGTTGGTGTTCCGGTGAACTGGCTTCGGCCCGAAGCCGAGGTTCATCACGAAGCTCACCACCTTCTGCGAAATCGACAAGTCTGCGCCCGTCATCAGGATGTTCGGGCACCGCTGGTGCGGGTGCAGGAGGTGCTCCAACAGGTGATGGCACTGGCGGCGGATCCGGGGGCTCGGCCGGAGGCCTTTCCTCCGGAGCTGGCATGGCTGGCTTTTCGTCGCGCGTAAAGCTTGCAACCTTAATCTCTTGGACCACATCATCAATGAGCGCATTGAGCTGCTCCTTTTCTTCTTCTGTCACTTGGGGAGGTGATGGAAAATCCTGGCATGGATCAATGATGAAGGAATCATCATCGGACAAGGAAACTGCATCATCCTCGACTTTCACAGGAGAACCAACGACATTGATTGGCCGAATCAACGATCTGCGGTTTGACTACCTCATCGTACTGCGGTACGTACTCAACTACTCTGGAGGCGTTGATCCTAGAACGGCGAGGAACCCAAAGCTTGCACTTACCAATCTCAGAAGGAGGCACAAGATAAGGAACGTTCTCTCTGCGGTCCCAGATGAAGAGGTAACCTCGATCGATGACGGTTTTGCCAATTGATTGAGCGGGCGGACATTCGTTCAAAACGTAAACCTGCTCATCAGGTGGGATTACACGGGAGTCCTCAAACGCAAGAGATTTGCGCTCCTCCGCCTGTGGCAAAGCCTACCGGTGTGTTGGTCTTGCGTACGCAATGCATAGGGCGGTGGATGCGGCGCCCGACGCGTAGGTCTTGGGGCGCCCTCGTACCGGTGCTGGAGGATCCAGATCCCTGCGCTGTCCACCCGAGTTGCGGGGTAGGCGCAGTTGGCTGGCGCAAGAATCAGTGGCCGGCCGCTCAGGGATGCGCGGGCAGGTGGTGAGGAAGAGCTGGAGCTCCTGGTCCTCGACCCCGCTGCGCTTTGAGCTGCAGGATTGAGGGGAGTTCTGGATCTCGGGCGTCGGGTTGACGCCTTCCGTGCCGGTGCAAGGGAAGGCCTCTTCCTCCGCGACGAGGACCTCCCTGCAGCAGTGTACCTTCCCCTACTTGCTGTTGCAGGCGGATAGGAGGAAGGTCGGGACGGGCTCTCAGTTGAAGCTTTGGATGGAGCCGCTGCGCTTGGAGCTGCAGCCTGACCTCCCGGCCCTGTTGCTGCCTGTGTCTGCGACGCGCTTGGAGCTGCAGCCTTGATGGTGAACACAGTTGTGGTGCAGGATGGACTTGATGGGGTGCTTGGTTGTTGTTGTGGCTGAGCTGGTGTTGAAGCCTGCCCTGCCGCGCCTTGAGCTGCGGCCTGTGCCCGTTGGTGAATTGGGATTGGTTGGTGTCGGCCTCGGGCAATGACGGCGTCGTAGAGGTCGGGATAGATGTCCCGCAAGTGCCGGTAGCTCTGGTCGGTGAAGTCGGCCTGCCACGCCAGGAGGGCGATGCAAGTCCGAAGCTTCCTCCCAGGGGACTCTTGCTACCCCAACCTGGAACTCACGCCGAGCCCAACGGGTGAGCTTGTCGAAAGCTTCGTAGTAAAGCTTTCAACGATAAACCCACCCGCCCCTGTGTCCTCTGGCCGAGAAGGCCGGAGCCGGGTCCATGCACGAAGTGCGCTGACTACTGGACTGAGGGGGCCTAATCCCAAAAAGCAGTTACGGCTGATAACCACTCAACAGGGAAAGAAACACAGCGAACCAGAAACCGGGCCCCTTAAGAACCCCAGTCCGGTAGGCGAGCGCAAACCCTGGTTTTGATCTGCGCATCTTGAGCCAAATGGGCATTGCCATTTGACAAATCCATGCAAGGCAAAGGGGCCTCCAACATCACATACATGCACACCCTTCTGGGGTACCTCTTTGGGGGTCAAGGGGTCGTGATTATTCAACTAGTATAGATCCTAAAGAAAGAAAATGAATGATGAAAATTATGGGATCGCTTTCCGTCGCCTGAGATCTGTCTATATCATTCATCTCACAATATAGTTGCATTCCTTTCATGTCAAGTATTTTTTTAGAAGAATGAAATTATAGAAGTATAAAACAAAGATATAGAACAAGAATCGTATAATATAATGATGGAATACCAATAAAAGCATTGTAATGTCCAATTATCATTATTTGTTCCTTATAATTATTTCAGCTAATTTCCTTAAAAAATGATTCCGATCTTCAGTTCTCCTGCAACCTCCTGGCGTCTATTTGGTATGGTGAACTGCGTCCCCTCTGTCTTTTCGTAGTGTTCGTGCTGATCTCCATGTGGCAAACCACAAAAGCACTGCTTTTTTGCAAAACGCGGAATGGAAACTCAAAGGCCTGCTCGCCTGCCCTGCGATAGCTGGACAAATTCTGCCCACAGCCAGCCATATTCGGATGGACCAGCTATACAAACCTCCTCACTTAGAGAAACTTAGCAGGGATTGTACAGCATCCGTTGGTCCCGTGTGTGACTACAACTCTGGCACGGTCTATCACAGGCGGACGTGCCTGTCCAGAACATCAAATCAAAGAGTTTGATCTACAGCCAATGACAATTTTGACAATGATTTGTTGCGGAGCTGGCCAAAGAACGGCATCGGTTCAGGACTTCAGCCAGAAAGATCGCCACCCCACTGTACATTGGACCAGCGAGCAGCGTTGTTGCGGGTGGGAGCTGCTTTTTAAAAAAAAGAGTCTGTGCGTCGAGGAAGACAATCAGCCAACATCTGTTTCACAAAGGACCAAAACTGTTCACGCTGTCTACACAAATAACATTACCTCACAACAATCATCGAGCTGGCCACAATGCCCTTTCCTTCGGAAGTTGCCCGTGGACGGGTCGAATGGAACCGTGGAACTTGCCATCGGCCGAATGGCCGAATGGCTGGAGCACCAAGCTTCAGGCTGGACAGCCTTTTCTTGGCCCTTCCACCTAGAGAGTTAGGAGAGTTACCGCACTGGAACTTTTGGTGGTTTCACTCTCCGAAAAACTGCGGCGAAACTGTCTCACGTCATTGGCTCCTGCAACGTGTTTCTGCAGGAGGATTCGTACTGCTCATACTAGCGTCACTCATTCACTCACTCCCACACCTCTCTTCCAGCGAGTAGCTCTGGGCTCGCCTCCATGGCCTTAACAATGCAAACAGAGTGCTGCCATCTTTGGCTGCGATGGTCGCTTGTGCCTTCATCAGCCACGGCTGAGCCTCAACGCAAAATCTGGCAGCGCAGCCAATATAGCCGTGTGATCAAGGCCCCAGCCCATATGCTGCCGCCGCAAGGGCCTTGCTCAAAACCAAGTGTCAACTTCCCATTTTCCCATCGTCCAATGGCACTTGAATGCACACGCGTGCTACCGCAGGCTTGACCTCGCCTGGCTGGTCCTCCAAAAGAGCCAAGCGGTCCTGAAGGGCATCCCAAACTTTCAGCTGAAGCGCTAGCTTGCCCCGCCTCCGGTGTCAATTGCAGCAAGCCAGCCAGAAGTCTGGCAAACGATGGCGACATCACCTCATGTCACATGACGCTGCTTGTGAGCTCATGTGAATTGCAAGATCGTGAGGCTCAGTTTACAAAGCCAGCTCATTCAAAAGTGCGAGTAAAATCAACTTAAGCTAGCCATTATAGCCATTATAGCCAACTGCAAGCAAAGAGTTGGAGGCCCTAGCAACTTTGCGTCTGAGCTGAAGGTCTCAAACTGGAGAAATAGTAAAGGATGGCAAAGGATGATAAAGGCAAAGGAAAGACTGGGCAACTCGTGTCTGAGATTGAAGATCTGTGCAGCCAAATCACGACTAAGGCTGACAATTGAAACGAGCCGAATTAAACATGGTCACACGGTCAAACCAAGAGTGGCATCCAATATATTTACTACGTCGTTGCAATCTGGCTGGCTCTGAGGGAGTCCACAAGCATTCCAAAAACGTCATGTCTTTGAATATTGATCACTACTCCGGACCCCATCTACGAAGGCAGATTTGACTACTCTTCACAACTCAAACGCTCCTCAGATAGCCGCAAACCGCTTGCCTGGTCCACCGGCTTCTTGTCTTCACCAACAAGTATACGGCGCTTGGTCATGTACTTCAAAAAGCCGTGACTGCGCACATACCTCAAACGCATGGAGCACCGATCTTGAATCATTTGCTGGTCAGCGCATGTCTCTTCTGAAACTAAGTCTGGCACTCGAAGCACTTGCAAGCACCAATGCGTGTTGATATCCATGGATAGTCCTGATGCAAAGCATTGAGCGGCGGCACGTGCATGCAACAAAGCGAGGAGTCCTTGGCAAACAAGGCATAGAGAATGACCCCGCACGAAAATGCGTCAGCCTGGCAGTGTGCTTGGCAGTGCAGCTGAAGTTCAGTGCAAACGGGTGTCCTGGAAGGCATCATAGCCGTTGCCCAGGTGCATCTGAGACACGAACGCTCAGCTCTTGCACAGAAGTCATGGCTTCAAAACAAAAGCGCCTCCGGTGCTATGTAGGAGGCCTTTCCACAAGCTGGACCTGACAAAGCGCAAGTCGCCTGTGGCTCGGCAAACCGGACCGGCAAACCGGCAGACCGGCAAACCGGCAGACCGGCAAACGGCAAACCGGCAAACCGGCAAACCAGCCTGACTGATATCTCATAGTTGTAGCCATGCTGTAGTCTATCAAGTACACCGGTCCACCCTTCTTGCTTGCCAAGAGCACGTTCTCCAGGGAGAGGTCTGCGCGTAAGGCCAGAAGCCAATGTGAGGCACAGCACTTGACAAGCCCCCAGACTTGCAAACCAATGTGAGAACTAGATGTTGGTCCGCGCACCTCTGTGAGCCAGGCCAAGCCTGTCAGGAGCTTTCACTAAGGCTGGAAGGCTACATGTCAAGGTTCTGGCCGATGAAGACGAGCCACCGCCAGCAGGAATTCCACCTGAGGCTTCATTTGACTTATCAGAGAGCCTTGAGCCAGTAGCTTTCAAAGCTCGATTTGAATCCGTGCTAAGTCCGACGGTGCCACCAGGGTTCCCTCCCCGAGTTGTGCAAGATAGCTGGCCCTGTGGATATGACAAGCCTCCGCTCGCGTGCCCGCCCATCTGGGGAGACACTCCTGGAGGCTGGATAACTGGGACGCTGTGCAGGCTGAGGAGGTGGGGCTGCTCGATTGTCTTCCATGCTTCTTTGGCATGGAGAGGGCCCTGCATAAAATCGGTCATTCACAGCCCGGATACTTTGACCCGCAAATCCATCAGGCAGTTCTGGACAGCTCAGTGTCGTGATTGTCTCACGACTCTGGCGCGTGCTTAAGAGTTGTGGCTCAGGCAGTAGGCCGGCAAGCTGCTCAAGGGTGTCTTGAGCTGCTTCCCGCGTCTCGGCAAAACTCCGAAACGGGTGCGCCATGTTCAATCGCCTTGCTGAGAACCTGGCCTTCTTGCTACTCTGCATGGGACCATCATGCATCTGCATTGAGGTTTTGCCCATTGCCACCACCCTCTCATCATACCTGAGAAGTCGGCACTCGACACGTCAGGCACGAGCTGCCAAGAGCTGCTGACATGAAATCAATTCTGCCACAGAAACAGTTCCAGGCGGTGAAGAGCCGATCGAAGCTGATCGCGACTTCTTTGGATCTGAAGATCTGCCGCTTCAAACTGCTTCTTCAGCAAATCTGCCTCGGTGGCTGGTGAGTTGGTGTGCAGCTAAAACACTTATGCAGTGTACCAGCCAAGCTTCTTCAGCTTGGTCGGCATCAACGCCTGCCTCGCAAAAAACTTGTAGAATGACGTAGAATGCATAGGGCAAGAACAAAACGACTCACGACACAGTGATGTCACCCAGAACACGCCTGGATCTCTTGAATCTGCTGCTTCAACTGATGGGCTGCTTCAGCTAATGCTTCGTTCTGCTCATCTGCAGATCGGCGGCCTGCCTGTTCCTGCCTGAGCTTGGGTTCACAATCCGCACGAATCAAGCGCACACCATGCAAAAGCACTGATGATGTGCCACCAAGCATCGCTAGCACCTCGTTAAGCTGCTTGGCCACTTGTTGGCAATGCTGCAGAGCAGCGGTTTGCTTCTCAAGAGCATTTTCCATACGAAGCTCCTGCAATACCTCCTTCCAATGCTCAAAAGAGGTGGATTTCAGGATCGTGGAAGTGGAGACCATGCACCTCTCGATCCAAGATTTCTTCATGCGAAGAAGCCTGACAGACCACAGTTCACTTTGGTTCACTTTGGTCACAGGACAAGGCCGGGCCTGGCGGACAACCAGCGATTGCGCGACTCCAGAAAGCCATATCGGCTCTCCAGCTCCGAGATCTCCTCAACTTGACACAGCGAACGCTCGTGCAATAGTGCAATAGTGCATTCAAAGCATCGTCTGCGAGTGAACGGACTTTGGAGCTGCGAGAATGCACATCTCGTCTATCACTCAAGAGGCCAGCATGAGCATCCTGCCCGCAGTGCATGCTGTGCACCCACTCATGCCGCGCTTGCAACTCTTGCAAAACTGTCAAACACATCTTTCCTGCCCTGCGCGAACAAGCGCCACCATTCAATCAAAGGCGAGAAGTGCTTGTCGGCTCGCAAATGCTGCATGTTATGCCAATGGGCGGCATTCCTAATAGCTGAGGACAAACAATGCTTGAGACTAGAAGGCAGCAAATGATGTAGAAACGGCTTCAGCATGGACCAGTCAACAAGTCGACCTGCATTTGCTTCAATTTGTCAGTGTGTATTCAATATGTTGACCCTGAGGAACAGGCTGCAATGGGCTGTAGCGCTTCTTCAAGAGCAGGACCAGGATCTAAAGTCAAGCAGGACTCCAAGGCTCAGAGCAACCCAGCCTGGCCTGGTAGACCCATAGCGTCGACAAAGGAAAAAAGGTCACCACCCTGGCAGCATCTGACAAGCCAGGAATGCGGGAATGCCTCTTGTGTCAGGCCTCCGCAAGCCCCATGACAAAGGAGATGTAGTCGTCATCAAGGAAAACACCGGCAAAGTCTACGCAGTGCTGGAAGCCAACGAGATTAAGCCACCTCAAGAGGGATCAAATGAAATGATGAAAGGGTCAGGCAGCCAATTCACTCAAGCAACACAATCTTGAGACTAACAAAAACATGTGTGAGGACATTGCAAACTTAAAGTGAAAGGCCTCGTAGCAGCCATGTCCATCCACGGAACCTGCAGTGATGAGATCGGAGTCTCTGAGCACATTTTAGGATCGGCCAACGCTACCAAAACACACATATGTGATTTGTTTCTCTATGTCCTAAGTTTGCGAATATTTGTTGGGGGCATGTTGCCTGCGGTTGGTAGTGGCTGCTTGCTTGCGAGCTGCGAGTCAACGAGACAAAATGAACACATCAAATCGCTGCCAACCCCAAGCCTCGGTCTCGGTTGGATTGGCCAAAGCGAAAGACTCTGCATCCTACAGCATGACATGTAATGGACCCCACCCATGCACACACACACACACACTCTTGTATACATATTACATACATAGTATACGTGTGAAGCATCTAGAAATATGAATACAACTACGCTCTGGCCAGCATGTACCAAACTTTGCGCTTGACTTTGTTCATACTCACAAGCCAGGCTCTTGCAACACAGGCAAGTCCTGGCACACCCACGTGAGTGGCATTCGCTTGACTGCTAGCCGTCGGCCGTTCGAACGGTCCTGTGGGCTGCGTCACATGATAAACACACGCAACATTGACAGGCTTTCAGTCCTGCACCAGCCGTACGTGCCCAGCGTTTCGTGGGCAACTCTGTAATGTTGCAACGACCTGTGCCGCACTGAACGAGCTTTGCATTGTTCAGCTTTCAGTGAAACTCATTCTCAAAGTTGTGGAACCCCTAGCTGTCTCACGAGTTGCACATACCGCCCAGTTCGGCCTCGAATCTGGCAGCATCCCATCTTTGGAGCTTGTCAAGACACCTACGCGTATTCTCTGAGACAGGAAGCATTGAGTCTTTTGGAACAGGCGGGAAAAGGTGGCCTGAGGATCATAGTATCATCAACCTGCACAGCTCAAACTGCTCTGGTTGTTTAGCAACAGAATGTCCGACCTTTTCAGGCTGCAGTTCTGGATGTCCTCCTGGGTAGGCCAGAACCTGAGCTCAAATTGTGAGAGAGGCCCCTCATCCTCATGTCCTCAACAATGTGCAGCTTGCCGGAAACTCCTGCCTCCGAGTGGTCAATGGCCATGACAGGGGCATGGCAAGCAGTAACTGTTGAACGGAAGCTCAACAAGTCAACAAGTCACCGGAACGGCAGAGTGCGCCGGCTAAGAGTGCTAGCTTTTTGGAGTGACACTTGTGCTTCTGGCTGGAGGCATGTGCCGGGAAGCTACTTCAGTGTATGCTTATACTCAAGGAATAGGATGGATAGAGGGAGTCGCAAGAACTTAGCATGAGAGAGCTTGCTGAACTTATGAGAGGTACCCGCTTCGAAAGACTCTGAGCCAGAAGTGGCTGTTCAAGGGCACATTGCTCAAGCACAAGATACATGCAAAGCAACATACACCGCTCGACCGCTGGAGACTTGAAGAAGAATCGCCTTTTTTTGCTAAATCTTAATCATCAGGCTCGCTTGAACCATAGCGGCGCATCCATGTGTCGATGTCAGGAACTGCGTCCTCCTCCTGCAAACCAACAACCTCAGGGTTGGCGCAAATTAGTTCGACAAGCGTCACTCATGTGCTTGTGACCTGTATGCAGTCCTCCTCCTCATCCTCAGTTGACTCTTCCTAGACAAGGCGTGCAAGCTTTGACCTGCCTTCAGAGTACCAGGATGACATCAACGCCTTGTCATGGAGCTTCCTCTCCCCCACGTGTTCATCAGCCTGAAGTCACTATCCACGTCTTATAAGTTCGAAATACGTGTGCCTCACGCAGTAGTCAGCAAATACAATTTGTTCACTCGGCGCTCAACTGCCTATCTGAGCTGAACCCTCTTGCCTCGGCATGCACTTTGCCACTCGGCCTGAACCATATGAAAGGGGGGGAACTTCGGAGCCTAGAATGGAAAGCAACTTCTCCAAGTTGCCTGAATTCAGCTTGTGCTGTGTTGGCTGATCCTGCCACAAGTGCAAACGCATGATCTACACTGCCTCTCCGCTGTATGAGCTGCACTTTCCAAGCAGGGAAAAAAAGGAAGAAAAGAAAGCAAGCTTCGGAAATCAGATGAAATGTGCACTTCATATGTGCACCTGGCTATCACTAACCAAGCACAAACTGTTCGCTTTAGCACACTGCGCATCAGTAGCAACCTCGATCATCTTTGGAGCAGCTGGCGCTGGAACTGTCAGCCTTGGTGTAAACAACATGCATCGCCAACGCAGCCCTGCTTCCAACACAACATTGCACCAGCATAGAATCTAGATAGCATACCACGGCGACGAACCATGACGCAGCATCCTAACGGCTGCACCTGCAACATGATGGCGCTATTGACAGCATCATGAGGATGCTGACAGTATCATGGTGATACCACAACCACGCAGCAGTGTGCGCTAAACAGACGCACAGGCAACGTCCTAATGAGTTCAGCAGCATAATGGTGATGTTGCCAGACGTATGCTGATATACCAGCCACAAACATTTACGCTCTAGCCGCGCTACACTTAAGGCAGAGACGATGTCCTGGTGAGTTCGACAGCATTGTGATGATGCGAAAAGCATCATGATAATGCCAGCGTCATGACGACCCAGCAACATCGTAATGAAATTCAGCAGCATCATCGTCATCATCATCATCATCATCATCATCATCATCATCATCATCATCATCATCATCATCATCATCATCATCATCATCATCATCATCATGTTGACAAACCATGGTGCTAAATGACCCGCGAACCTTAACGCGGCATCGGAATGATTCCAGCAACATCATGATGTTTCACCAGCCACGGAACATTACGACGACTGTGCGAGATTGATGGTAGGGTGCTTGGGGGCATGCAGTTTGGGGGGCTGGTGCAGGGGCTGTTTCGGGGTACTTTGAGGGTGCATTTTGGGCAGGCTGCTGGGGGGGGGTTGTGGTATCACCATGATGCTGACCGCGTAATCTTGGGCTTGTTGAACCCATTAGGGCGTGCGCCAGCAGCCCAAAACCGTGCCATCAACCCACAAACATGTCCCACACCGCCAACAACAGCTACCCCAAACAGCACCACAAAGCAGCACCTGCACCAATAGCAACTACCCGCCAGCACCCCCAAACTGCGTGCCCCCTAGCACCCTGCCGTCATTCTTCCAAAATTCGCCCAGCGCCTCAAACAGCACCTGCGCCAGCACCCCAGAGCAGCATCTGCACTGCGCCCCAAACTGTGCTCCTAGCACCCGGCCGTCTGCCGTTAATCTTTGCAAAAAGGCGCCCGCACCGTCACCAGCATTTCAAGCAGCACCTGCACCAGCACCCCTGCATGCCCCCCAACACCCGGCCGTCAATCGCGCAAAAATGCGCACGGACCGCCACCAGTACCTCAAACTGCATGCAACCTGCCATCAATCTCGCAAATCACTTTCCCCTCTTTAAAATAATTTCGATCCCCTATAGCTTTCAGCTATCTGGGGAATGATAATTACATAGACTTATGAATTAGTAACAGCTCAGCTCTGAGCCTTGGAATCGCATGGCTCTTTGTCCAATATCTCAAGGTCAGAGTCCTGACAACTCCCGCATTCAACCATTCCTTCGCACTCTTGCTGCCAACCCCGCCTTGTAACCCATGGCTTCCCAGCGTGCATCTATCCAGCGCGCCAGCATTTCGGACTCGCAGGAGCAACAAGTTTGAGAACAACAGAAAGCTTGGTGGCTTTTGCAATAGGGTTTTGCGTCCGAGAAACAAGTGCAGGCATAGGGTAATGCCAGCCAGCGGGGCCTTCGTAGCTGGTGGCCAAACGAACGATTCATGAATACGAGTAAGAACGCTCACGCCCGAATTTCACTGGCTGTCATGAGAATGCGGTCGGTGGTTTTTCCTTCTGATGCGTCTCGCACTTCGGCTTGCTTCGGGCCATGATGGGTTGCCTGATTGGCTGGGTGTTGTTTGGCCTAGTTTTGCCGGCAGAATGATATGACCAGAACATCTAAAAGCAACATGTGGCTCATCCAACCGGCCCTCAGCAAAGGGTGTTCATTGTCCTTGTCCTTGTCGTTGTTGCTGCAGCTGCCGCCGCCGCTGCTACTGCAGCGGGTGCTGCTGTTGCGTGTAGCATTCTGCTTGTTGTTGTTGCTCTGCTTTGTTGCTGTTGTTGCTGCTTGTGTTGTTGGTGGCTTGTGTTGGTTGCTATTGGCCATTGCTGCTGTCGGTAGTTGTCATTGGCTTGTGTGGTTGCCAAAGGGTCCACGAACAAGTCCAAGGAAGTATGGCGATGGTTGATGCTCATCACCAGCATCATCCACAAGTATCATCCAAAGAAGGCCTCCAGCATCTCCGGCATCATCCAGCATCACCAGCATCATCAAGGATGGCTTTTGCTGGTGACACTGTCGTCTTTGTCGAGGATTCTCGCTGTTTCAACAAGTGTTTTAGCATAACGGCTGTTCTGAGTCATCAACCAGTGTGTGGCTGCGCTCTACCTTTCCTGTTGCCTTCTGCAGCAAATCTTGGATTGCCCAGAGACGTTTGCTGGGACAAGGGGTTGATCCAAAGCTCCGTTTACATGGGATGACCATTGGTTGAACAACCACCAAACAAAAAGATACGATATTTCAACATGGGAAAAGCTACCCATGGTCAAAACTGGGGGTCGTTTGGGGAATATTGAAAAGCAAAGATGGTACAAGAGAGAAGCCAAAAAAAAGCTGATATTAGCAGACAGCGCCGAAGACATGTCCACATTCATAGCAAGACAAATGAAGTGGCAGGTTCGCAGGACAGTTCTGACTAAGGTCAAAAACTTAAGGAGCTGCTCGACGGGAAAAAATACAACTATATGGTTCGCGGATCTGATTGGCCGTGGACCAAGCCTGGCTCACGCCTTCCAACTCACACATTTCCTCAAACCTTGGTGAAGCAATGCGTGTTCTACGTCACTCGGCCCCACTCGTACCCCGTCATCTGCCAGGCATGCTCAGAACCTCACATTCTCTGCACATCTGGCGGCAAGTCCACCTCGAACAAGCATGAATGCCACGCAAGCATGAATGCCACGCAAGCATGCATCACGCAAGCATGCATCACGCTTACATGGCACACCCTCATGAGAAGCAAATTGCAACGATTCAGGTCAATGCCCGCTCAAATCAGGCCAGGAAGCAACCCCAACAAAGGGCTGCGCCTGCAAGCTGATCAAGTCGCTGAAGGCCCTGCACATCAAAACCAAAACAAGTTCTTGATCCAGGCAATCGGCATCAACGAGCATCTGGCCTCTCTGGCCAGCACGCAACGAAAGATAAGCCCTGGAATCGCATGTGACGGTTGGCTACAACATGAATTTTCTGAGTGGCGGATGTAGAAAATATTCTCCGTGCCTGGATGAAGACTGAAGCGCCATATCCCATGAGTCAAAACAAGATTGCCGACTACAACGGGCTGGCA